AAGGCGTTTTCGTGTGTGAAGTCCCCGCTAACAGAGATGCTGTACAGCAAGGAGGGCACATGGACAATGAGATAGACAGCGAGAGAAAAGCTAACAACAAGAACTAACAGTAGAAGTTGCTGGTCAACGTGGACCAGTTCATTCCAGTGAAGTTGGCGAAGACAACAGGCTGATTAGGGTCACTACTGTTGTAGACGAAGGTGTTGTCTCTCGGGATGGGCACGAGAAACGGGTGTTGGAAAAAGGCCGAAGCCACGAAGATGATAATGCCGAAGACAACCTTAAAGAATCATAAATTTGAAGTGATTGAAAAAAAAACCAATTAATTGACAGGTCGAAAGAGAGATGGATAGGGACTGATTGCTCAGTGAAACAAAAAAGCCAGGTAGGCGATGAGTTTATTTAGATTACGTTAAAAAGGTGTGGGAGATTGCAAGTTTCGCATTCTGCCAGCAGCAATCAAACCTAATTTTGGATTCTGTCATGTAAAAGATATTACGTTGAGCGCGCCTTCCTGAACCGCCGTCCATTCACGAGCCATCTAGAAGAGGTGAGGAAATCTCTAAAGAGCTCTAATAGAGGTAATGATAGCGCAGAATGGTATCAACCGTTTGCAATTGAAATGAATTTTTAAGGGAAGGGGAGAGGGGGCTTGTTCGCGTTCCGGCCGCTAACATTCAGCGTAAGTTCATGAAGCAGATTCCCGGCGTTTGACTCATCCCTTTTCGTCTCCACACAATGAACGCCACTCTCAGGCCAAGTTTACCACTTTTCTTCAGAAGATGCACAACATCGGCATAACGGACTCACTGGCTCGACGAACACTGCGACGTCCTTAGCCCAGAGGTGGGGTACAGTGGGCGAAGCGTTTGATGCAATAACTGCAGACACCAAAGTCTGCGTACACCAGACAAAACTATAAACTACGTCACCGGGCCTTCCACTACAACTCTGTTCCTAAACCTTCCTTCTGTTTCTTGTTTCCTCTCTCGTTTTTCTTTCTTCTTTTCTCTTTTTCCCTCTCTTTTCTTCTCTTCCTCTTTCCTTACACAACCTGCTCTACAACACTCAACTCCGACTTGTTTTCCTTTTTAGCACTGCGCCCATCCCACCTCAGGCGACAGATTAGCTAGGCAGTTGCCTGTTGTTGGCGGTGGGGGAGAGAATGAAGTCGACCCTCAGCCCATTTTTTTCCTCACTATACACAATTTGATACGCTCGAAGCTATCGCGGTGCACTAAAAACCGTGACTTTGAGGGTTGCCAACTGACAGGATAACTTGGACACCGCAGTCGGTCTACTTTGTGTCTTGTTGTGTGCAGTGGCTTACTGCGGACTGTGAGTCAGGCTCAATGACTCCTTCTTACTGTGGCCTTTATGGCGCTCCAAGGTGGGAGTCTACCTAGCAAGGTATGCTGTCGGTAAGCGTTTTGAGTGTTGGTCGCGCCAGCCGCCTGCGCCCTCCCCCATCTCCGGTCTTCT